ATTAGATATATGTGATGGCCTCAGACCAAAAATTTCTTATGCCATACCAAAATCTTGGAAAGATTTGATGGAAAAATATTGGCATCAAGATCCAGAAAAGCGGCCTGATGTTAATAAACTTTACACTCTAGTTAGAAGAATAAGAAATCGTGGTTCAGCGTGGATAAATAAAGATATTGATAAAGATGAATTAGCTGCATCTACACGCGAACTAAATAAAACAGACATTAGAAAGCAAAACCTTCATCCAGGAGCCATTTACACAAGCAGATTAGTTCCTTGCCTTAGCAATACATCAACAGTTCATAGTGATGATGATTTATTTGCATCCAGTTAGTTTTTATTTACTTCTAAGCGTTTTGCATTTCTTTTCAATTTTTAACACATGTAATTTTTTAGTTAGACAATTCTACCAAGAATTAAATTAACTAAGCTAAAGTGGTAAGTTTCTTATATTCACAGAACTTGATGTAAATTTACATGAGCGATAATACATGTATTCCGGAATGTTTAATTAATATCTAAAACAAATTGCGTGTGTTGCGTTCAGTCATATCTGGCACTTGATTCGGTGGAACAAATAAGAAAAATTTCATAGAATTACAAGCTGTATATAGTTCCACAATAGCCAGGCTTAAACTAAAATTTCTGTGGGAATTTTGTAGCTTTAGACAATCAAAATATCTAAAAAATCCATCGCTATTCATTTATATTTAATGTTAAAGAATGTCAATCGATATTTCCTGTTAACAGTTTGATTAAAAAGTAGATTTTTTTGTCACTAACGGATTGAGGCAAGCCTATATAGATGCTCCCAATATAACAAATCGTTGAAATTGCAGATTTAAAATTGCTTGAATATATACATCTTTTTTTATTCATTTCAACAAATAAAATGAAAATTAGAAATTTAAAATGAAAAAATAAAATTTTACTTTTGTTTCTTCAAAAATTTGTTGTTTTCTAGCAAGATGCTATGAAAGCTGCGACTTCTACATCAATTTTTTTATTATTTTCTTCTTTTACTTTTAAACAATACACTAGATGAAATTTTTTAGGTGTAAATATGATACCTGTCGTACCAGTAGGCCATCTTTGACAAGGATAAAA